TCATGAATTACTTTGTGTGACGATTTGTTGTGGGCTAGGAAGTTGATACAGTCTGAGGGGGGTCTAAGGGGGCGAGGGAATGTGAGCGGCAGAGGGGGGCGTGGAAGTGGCAAAGAGGTGGAGCCGTGGAACAATAGGTGGATGAGGAAAAGTGTGGGGTTGAGGGGATGTGAGGGGGGCACATTCGGCCTGTTGAGAAGATGGGGGACAAAAGGTGGGTTGAGGAAGAGTGAAGTGCTGAGGAGAGGTGTCCTGAGGTGGGGGGGGGTAGGTAGGGGTTGATGGGTAGAGTAAGGTTGATGAGTAGGGGGGCTGAGGGACAAGGAGGTTGAAGGAGACTGCTGCTTCGGGGTCAAGAGGGATTTTGGGTCGGGGGGGGGGGTGCAGAAGGGGGGCTGATGAGAAGTGAGCTAAGGGCCAAAAGAGGGGCCTGAAAAGTATGGGGCCTGCAGGCTAAGGTGTGGAAGAGGTGTGCCCAGAGGGTGGAGGAGGTTGGTGGACTAGGAGGATGGAAGTATAACTGAGATATAGTGATAGTGAGTGTGAGAGTGGACGGTGAGGGGGGCCGATAGCTACAGTGTGTGTGTGTGGGTGTGTGTGTGTGGGTGAGTGTGTGTGTGTGTTGTGTGTATGGGTGTAGGTGGTGTGTGTGTGGGGTGTGTGTGTGTGTGCAGTGTGTGTTGTTGTGTGTGTGTGTGTGTGTGTGTGTGTGTGGTATGTGTGAGGGGGGGGGGGTAGAGGCCGAGCTAGGGCATGCATTCTGATAAGCTCATGTCATTATCTCCCCCAACTTCACCTCCGTCACTACAAACACAAAACGTTGACCCAAATTGATTCTGCCTTCAACTCAAACTTCTGTCCTCCTCCTCCCCCTCCCCCCCCCCTCCTCCTCCCCCTCATAACAGGTGCTCGTCAGGAATCCATAAACCTGTCCAATTACCGAAGAGATAAACGATTCTCTCCTTCAGATTCATAATTAGACTCCGACGCGGCCTCATAATATCTCAGAGCTGCTCTCAAAACTTTTGATAAAATTCATATAATTCTTGTTGGTAGAACGTTAATTAGTTTATGATACGCCTTAACTAATAATTCGCATAATTAGAGACACGGGATTAGAGCATTGCTGTAATTAATTTGTAATTAGAGCTCCAGCTTTTGTCATTTAAATATATACTATATATAGATATATATATAATATATATATATATATATATATATATATATATATATATATATATATATATATATATATATATATCTATCTATATATATATATATTATATATGCAACAACGATCACAAAAACAGTGATCCAAGTATGCGGACAAACCACATGTGAAAATAGAGTATGCTAAACGCGTTTTCGGTTTATATCGCCTTCATCAGAGCAAAGTAGAATGAAGGAAAACCTTCATCGCCTTATATCGCCTTCATTCTACTTTGCTCTAATGAAAGCGATATAAGCCAAAACACGTTAAATACATCTGGGTTCTCTAGCTGTTTCTGTGTCTCCTCTGTTGTAATTTCTATGCCACTCAATTTTGCATTCAAGAGTTTCCTGTCTGCTAGTTTGTTCACAGGTGGGCACAGGCACACGTGACTTGTGTTAGCAGTCTTAGTTCACTGGCTTTCCATAGCTCATGGTAGGCCTGAGGTCTCCCTGGAACACGATTTTTCAACCGTTTTACAACCAGGTTCCTAATTACTGCTGGATGATCAGATGCGAACAGTTATGGATTGATGCTGTCAATCTTCTCTGGCTATGGCTTCAACCCAGACAAAATAGCTTTTTCTCTTACTTTCTCCTTGCTTCTTTTCTTCATCGTTTACCTTTTCTATTGTCTGTCTCTTTTTTTCACTTTGCTTATTGTTATCACTTCAGTTGGAATATCTTTTATTTCGGGGCTGGCTTGTGTACACAGTCCATGTTGAACAAATCCACAAATATTGTCTAATCATAAACATATTTTTCTTCGTATTCCGGATATGTAATCAAGTATATTTTCTGTATTGTTTTGTGTGTGCAGTTATGTCGACCTATAGCCGCCTTTCTGGGAGACAGCCCTCACCGCTTCTTCCGTGTTGAGTGTCATTAATGTCATTGTACACTCTCTGGAGTGCACACTTTATACTGTTGGTGAACTCGTGTGCTAACCTTGCCCCTCTCCCTCCCTCAGGTACATCCACAGCAAGGAGAAGCCGTTTAAGTGCAGCGAGTGTGGCAAGGGCTTCTGTCAGAGCCGCACCCTGGCGGTTCACAAGATCCTTCACATGGAGGAATCGCCGCACAAGTGCCCGACTTGTGGCCGGAGCTTCAACCAGCGGAGTAACCTTAAAACGCACTTGCTCACACACACGGACCTCAAGCCTTACAAGTGCGCCTCCTGCAGCGCCGTCTTCAGGAGAAACTGTGATCTCAGGAGGCACATGTTAACTCACTCAATCGGGGGCCACCTGCCTTCCGATAAAGATTCTGACGAGAGTAAAAATATGAATCATCACGATGTTGATGTGAGTGCTTCGGGGCCTTCGTCAGGTGGTGCGATTGCAGTGTGCGACAGAAGAGAAGGGGGCACGGACTTGGATGACGACGAGGTAGAAGATGACGCAGAAGAGGACGATGAAGACGAGGAAATTGACCCAGGCCGTCCTGATGACGCCTACTCCTTCTACGAGTCCGAAAAGGTAGAGGACGAAGAGGAAGTGGAGGAGGAACTTGAAGAAGAGGACGACTGTGGCAGTGGTGTGCGGGCGGAAGACGACTCCAATGACCACCACCACCATCACGTGTCGAATCTGCACCAGCAAGAGCTTAACAGGCCAGACATGCACGGTCATCCTAGCCACCTCCACACCACTCTCGCACACAACGCACTCCACCATAAAACACACACACACGTCACTCACGCCCACACCACCCATGTACATACCACCCACACGCTTCACGAGCAGCTAACATCCCACACCCATGCCTCTCACGCACATATCTCGCACAGTAACAACAGTAGAGACTCGGGAATGTTAGGGCCTCACGGTGCCCCTCCCCCGAGACCCGCCTCACATCCTCACGCCCACGTCACTCCTCTCTACAGTCACGGCCATGGCTTCTACTCGATGGTGGGCGGGTCGGGTCCTCCAGGGCCACATTATCGGCCTCCTCACCACGACTTGAAGCGACCCATTGAGCAGGTGTTGGGGGGTCCTGGGCCCTCAGTAGTTCCTCCACCCCTTCTGCCCATGCAGGGGCCTGTGCCCATGGGCGGAGGTGGTATGGGTGCCGCCCCACGCCCACCATATCCGCCTCATCCTCCAGAAAGGCCAAAGAAAAAAGGGTTCATGATCGATGATATTATGAATGGATAGTGTCGGCCAGTGCCAGGTTGGGTCTCCGTAGCCTCACCGTGCACTTGCCCCCTGCAACCTGCAACCTGCAACCGCCGTGATGGGCGCGTCCTCGTGTCGACGACCCGGTCCACACCGAGTCAGAATTATCTTCAGCTCCGTCGCCGCTGTTGGGCCTTATTTCAGAGAGACGCGATATCATTAACTCTCAGACACCTTCATGTGCCCAATGGCGTAATAGCAACGGGTTCTCAAAGGTAATTAACACTTTTTTTCTTTCTTCGGACAAGAAATGAGAAGATTACGAGAACGAGTGAACCGCCATAGCCTCGGTTCTTGGGTTGACGCTAGCCTAACGTAGAATGGTAATGGAAACTGAATGCGGCCATTAGTTCTGAATGCTGCAATGCAATGTGAACGGGATGTGGGTATTGTAAACGAGGCCGAAGATATTAAATGCTGCAGGAAATCGTGAATGCAACTGGGCATTCTTAGCATGGCCTGAGAGAGCATGAATGCAGTGTGTGAATCTTAGCGTTGTTGAAGATTCTGAACACTAATGCGTATTCTGAACAAAGACAGGCACACTGAACGCGGTCAGAAACTTCTAACGCGACCTTAGAGGGTCGGAACAGTCAAAGAAATCTTGTTTACAGGGTCTTTGCCACAGATTAATTTATGTAATAATTTTCTAATGTGAGATTTTTTCTATAAGGTTTTTCACTATTTGTATCTTTTTAAAATGTAAACCTATAATTTTTGTGTACATATTTTGTGTATATTTGTAAATAATGTCTTAAAAAATAAAAAAAAAGGTTAATGACCTGATAGATGTTATTTATTACCTCACTCATTGTAGTTTGATATAAGGAATTATCTTAATTGCATTCTGAAAGGTGGTATATCAGTGTAATTATGATTTCCTATACTTCCCCAGAGCGGGTATGATGTGCACATATAATGTGTATATATAGCATTATTAATATTACTATTTTTATACACGTCAAATGAGAACCCAGCACCATACATTCCACCACTGAAATACAAATGATGGATGGTTGTTCAGCCCACCACTCTATCTCCCCTCAGGAAGTGAGATGGTGGTGGTCGTGTTGTGTCACTTTCCAGCCCATCCTCCTGGTTTGGTAGTACAGTACTTATGGTAACGATGAGGACCATAGTATATATACCGAAATTGAAATTGAAATAAGTTTATTGATGTAAAATACACACAAAGGGATGAGGTAGCTTAAGCTATTCTCACCCCGTTCAGTACATCGTGTTTATATATACCGACGTACAACGAAATTAGAACGTAGAAATGTGAACTATTGAATTGGACAAATGCGGAAAACTATTTTTTTACATGTGTTGCTTTGACAAACTAAACCCACCTGAGGCCGATATCTGAGGCCTAATGTAGTACATATGTGTGCTATACTAGGCCTAGGAATATTTAAGTTTGTGTTTTAGCTTTTTATTTTAAAAGAATTCTTTTCTAGTCAGTATACTACTATATAAAAGCTAAGAACGTACGAATTCTGACCACTGACGATCGTCACAATACACACTATCAAAACAGGAGGATGGGTTGCATGTTGACCAGACCACACACTAGAAATTGAAGGGACGACGACGTTTCGGTCCGTCCTGGACCATTCTCAAGTCGATTCTCAATCGACTTGAGAATGGTCCAGGACGGACCGAAACGTCGTCGTCCCTTCAATTTCTAGTGTGTGGTCTGGTCAACATACTTCAGCCACGTTATTGTGACTCATCGCCTGCATATGGGTTGCATTTTCCCAGACATAACAAATGCGATTCAGTTTTTTGTGTATATTCAGGATTTTTTTTAGAAATAATACATTTTTATTGTAATAAGTTCAAAATATATATAATTTATAATATGCATTAGAAACGTGAACAAAAACTAACTTAGCAACCTGACCTGACCTAAGTTCATATGTTTATTATTTCCAAAACTTGGCTTAACCTTGGTAGAACTTGTCATAAATAAACAAGTCACGAATTTACTTTATACCCTATTCAAATTTAATACATACAGATAAAATTGATTTAAAGTTGTAACAAGATTACAACAACCCATCCTCTGGAATAGATAGTACCCAACCACTTTGACTAGACGTTAGAGCGACGGTCTCGCTCGTGCAGGTCGGCGTTCAATCCCCGGCCGTCCAAGTGGTTGGGCACCATTCCTTGCTCCCCGTCCCATCCCAAATCCTTATCCTGACCCCTTCCAAGTGCTATACAGTCGTAATGGCTTGGCGCTTGCCCTTGATAATTAAATTAAATTGAATACATAGTACTTTATAAAATAATGTGTACGATCGTACAAATATCAACGTGATGGAGATATAAAAAGTAGAATTTGGTATTATTCATTTTATAGTTTCCAAAAAAAAAAAAAGCTAAAAATAAACTTAAATATTCCTAGCCTAATATAGCACATATTTGTATTATATTAGGTCTCAGATAGCGTGTCTAAGATGGTTAGGTTAGGTTTCATTACCAACATAAATAGGAAAAAACTTTTCCAGTTTGTCCAACTTCAATACAATACACAACTCTACTGTCTATTGGTCCATCACCTCCATATCTTTACGATCGACCATATGGTTACTATGTGATCGTACCTTCATGTTAGGAGGATGGAGGGAGAAATGGCACAAACGGTCTTTTTAATAAGCACAACAATCTATAAGCCTTGTTGCACGGTTCAAACCTATGCCTGGAAAACGAATTATATACAGATGAAATTTATATACAGTATATGTTTTTTAATATACATATTTTGTTATATGGGGGATTGCAGCATTTCACGGAAGTAAGTGTGTTTGTGTGGGAGGCTTGGGTGGGTTGGTGTGGGAGGCTAGGGTGGGTGGAGTGGGTTGACGTGGAAGGCTTTTGGTGCACGAGCTGCCCCACACCAGCTGGGTGGGCCCGCCTCGCCACTGTAAACAAAACACGCACCGGACTCTTCCCAGAAATTCCCTTCCCAACCTTCTCTGACCACAGGTAAGCACCATTCCTGTACTTTGTTACTATTCGCTGGAGAGGTATCAAACCTTGGATCCATTAGGAGGAATGCAGGTAAGGCGGTAAAGTTCACTGTGTTCAGCTTCATGTTTTTTTCTTCCCTCGGGTGGTCGTCAGGTGTTGATAGAGCAGCCTAGCGGTGTTTAATTTTGTTTGTCTGCTTTTTCTTCAGCCATATTTTAAATTCCAGGAACATGGAAAAGTGGCCATTATAGTAAATCGCTTTATTAACATTAATATTTGGTTATGTGAGTGATGATACGACGGTCGAAGTCACTTTAGCCAAGTTAAAGCCTTGATACGTAATTTTTTTTCTGTAACACGCTCCTCACTTGTAAATATCAGACAAATAGCAGTAACGTCAGAATAATTATATAGTTGTTGCTCTGTAGAATGCCAGGTGAACCGTTTTCGTCTCGGAACGTATATAATGCTAGCTCAAGGCCGCTGTAATAAACAGCCAAAGGCCAGAGATCACGGCAGATAACAACGACGTGGTTCCATGGAATTCACATGTTGATCTAGCGGGAAACATGTGTATTGTCAGCTGAGAATATTCGTGATGCAAGGCCTCTTGATGGTGGTTGTAGTGAGGGTGGTTGTGGTGATGGTGGTTGTTGTTGCTGTGGTGGTGGGAGTGACGACTGAGGCTCTAGTAGTTTTGTAGCTTTCATTACAACAGTTTCGTGGGATGTGGGTTTGTTTATATAGTTCTCAGAATCGACAGGGAGGCAAGGGAAGATGAGAGAGAACTCTGACTAATGTCAGGCGTCGAAAATGAGCAGGTGAGAAGAAAATGAGGAGGGAGTGGCGAATAATGGAGGAATAGTCTGGTCCATGATCACGCAGGCATAGGCTATGGACATTACCGGGTTGCATCAGCCCCCAACCACCCCCCCCCTACTGCTCATGATCACCTCCATGCCCCGGGAAAAGGAACTTTCAATTTTTCACTATATTTCGCAGACGTTGGTTTACTTTATAAATTGAATTGCTACAGAGGAACAATAACAATGAGGTGCTCATAAAAACAAATACATTCAAAACTTATTTGCTATGACTGCACATTAGGCTGTCAAGGGTAGTACATTCTTTGTTGTTTGTTCAGCGCATCTTATATGGAATTGACTTCGTCTGACTGTCACCTGCAGATCAGGAATAATGTAAGAATGTTGTCTACATTAACCATGACAGTATCTGATTGACTTTTTCCTGTTATTGTGGCTGAACTGTAGCAGTCTGCTCATCGCCACAGTAACAACGATGATAATTATTACAAGATTATTTTCAGCTACAGACCATAACTGAGTTATGCGTATGTAGATTGTTTTTACTGTACATTGACGATCCCTCCCCCAGAGGTTGATCCCTGCTTTATAACAATCAACATAATGTTTTAATATTGTAATGTATGCCATGTTGTGTCCTTCAAGTCAAGGACACCTTGGAGATGCTACCGCTCATGAGACCAGGGGACACACTTGAAACAATCATAGAGGAAGGTGGTATCATAGAACGTATTGGCTTTTGGATCGTTTGAAGTGCGAAATTAAAGTGTCTATGCTTGCATGCCAAATCAACTAATACCAAGAAGCCTATTCCAGAAATGGGCAGTTCTGATTGGCTCCCAGAATCAAAGCAGGCTCTCAGCGTCCAAAGAGGCAAGCATTCTGAAGCGTATTGCCACCTGAAAAATATGTCTTTGTTGTATACCAGCCACATACTTCATAGCATAGGTCAAATTAACTTACCCGTGATGTCACCAGCTGTCAGAATCACGGCCCACACATTCCCCGCCACACGTGCCCTACTCTTCCTCTTGCCAGCCGTCCACTCCCAGAGAACACTGTACCAGAGGGCCGAGCAGCTCTATATCAAATTGCACAGCAGAAAATCGCGAGAAAAAGTGGACATGGAGTTTAGGCAGCATATTCTCCTCCACCCTCTTCCCCCCCCCCCCCCACACACACCATTTCTCTCGGGAGCGTCCACCAATTAACCTTGTCATATTTTCGAGCACCTGCCAGGTACACACGCGCCTGCGCACACACGCACTCCTCACTACATATGCACACAAGCATGGACGCACACCCTGAATAGACACGCACACGGGCTTGGAACCAATCCATAATCTGTGAAATTAATTTGCAAATGGGCTGTATATTTCACTTTGACCTTCCCTAAAGGGGGACTTGATGTAACATACACAGAGGGTAGATACACTACTCTCATATATCATTGATCATAAACATTTATCACTAAGCCCTTAACTATCATAACGTTTTGATCCCTTGAAAGACAACCATATATTAGCCTTCCTCCTGTCAATCGGTTGTGATTTATAGACTTCATAAGACCAATCAATCACACGCGTGCACGCTGTCAATCAAGATGTGTTTAAATTGTCCGTCTTCCTCTCATGAATATAAATTCACTTTCACAACCGGTCGTGAATTTGTATGCAACCTGTCAATATGGACAATGTGTAGTGAGGGTGAGTACTTTCTCTCCACAAAACGTCTGTAATCCTCGTTACCTAAGGATAAACTTGTTGTTAGTGAAAATGAAACAATCCACTATTGTTAAGTAGGACATTACGGTCACTGAGTGCCCAGTCTTGGAAAATACTCGGCTGGTGGAATAATATTAATAATGACATATATTGTTAGTCTACAAATTAATGAATTGTGTAAGCCAAGAAGTTGTCATTTGTGTGGGATGTTTGTCGTTCCAGCTTGGCCTGGCCGTGTGCTATGCATGGAGAAG